TAAGTACTATTCAACATTCATCACTTAATTGTAATATTTGCCAACAATCTCCACTGATTCCCTTTAACTGACATTTGAAAAATTATCAGAAATGACATTATTATATAATAATATTACTACATAACAGGTTTAATGGTAGTATTGCTTGCATAAGTAGGTTTGTTGTAATACTTTTCTGGTCTGATAATTGAATGATTAATTTCAGCATATTTAGTATTAAAATTTGAAGATTAAAGACCTCTTACCCTAGTGCCAGGGGCATGTGAGATGTCGTACCTTATCCGTCATGAACAAACTTAAATAGACCGAGTTTGCAATCAATTTTTATATAATTCTGCCGTATCTATTGTTTTCTAGAGATATTCCATTTTCTCAGATTTTTTTATTAGCTACTATTCGATTTTCCTTTATTTGATAGATTTCTCTAATTGATTATAACAAAAACAACAGCATAATTATTTTATACATATTTGAAAGCTTCTCTTTCCCGTTGACAATTATAAAAAACATCTGGTGAAATTAAATTCATTTTTTTAATTGTTCAGACTCCAGTCGTATGGTTGAATTCTCTATTGATTTTGTATATTAGTGAAATCATCAAAATTTCTTCTGACACAATAAAGTACAAAAGATCATTGTAAAAAATAACATATTTTATACATGCTTTATAACCTCTTATTTTCGTAGTTATATCTGTACAAAAACTAGTTAATTTAAAATATGCCCTATTTCTTTCACAAACGTAAATCAATCTGATGTAAATAAGAGATAGAAATGCTGCAATAAAGTTGCAAACTTCTTTAGAACTGTCAGATTGCATAAATGTTCTAGCTTTTCTTCATGTATAACCCTAAGTACAGAGTAAAAATTGAATTACCTGTTTCCAAAAAGGTTAAGATATGTATCATTGGTTAGTAGTGACTAGCTTTACTTTATTTTAGAGCCATTTCTTTTCGAACATCGATACGGCGATCCAATTTGCAAGCCAAACTTGTTTTATCTTTAGTTAAGGGGCCATTATTGCTCAGAAATGCTATAAATTTTATTTATCAAAAACTTTTTATTTTTGGTATCTTACAGTTTCCAAAGAAATACACACCTGCTATCTATCTATCTTTTGTTATTTAAGTTAGCGGTACAATTATAGTGAATTAGTATTTTGTATGGATGTAAAAATACTACTTTGTGACGCATAACTGCACGTTCAGACCTAATTTATTCAGTTGTTAAATATCTACATGCTATAAATCCATCCATTTTTAAACTATAATTAATCAACATGGCAACATTTGCCTATAAAAATAAAAGTTTACTTACGAAACTTTATAACTGTCATTTTAGAAACAGGCTTTGTTAACAAAATAGTTTAATAAGCTTTGAGTTTCGGAAAAAAAATTAAAAAAAATAAAAAGAAGAAAGAAAAAGAGAAAAGAAACGATCCCGCTCCATTTAAATAAAAATAAACATTTAATTTAATACACATATGAAAAATAATAATGAGTTCACAAGATACAAAAATGTGGAAAAAACCTTAAAATTACAGTTCAATATTATAACTTTGAAAATACGAACAATTAAATCATGCAATACTATGAGAGTGAAAAGAGATAACCGAAAGTTGCAGATTTCAGTTTTGTTAACACTGATTATGATAATCAATCTGTTGACAGATCGTACCCTTTAACGTTCAAAATTCATGTGGCTGTATGGAAAATAACGACATATCTTTTCTTAATGTTTATTATCTTAGGACAAAAAGTAATTGTCTTATTTTCTCACATTTAAGCATTTCCTACTTAAATCATTTTATAGAAAACTAGATAAATACTTTTGCAATCAAACTGTAACCAGCTTTGGTGCACGTACTTCTGTACGCATGACAAAGAGAATGCATATTTACAAATAGTACAGATAAGACAAGTGCAATTTAAGAGAGGTTGCTGATTAACGCCGACACTATTTGACTGTAGCAACGACACACTTTTATGACCTTAAAGCTATCATCTAGAAAGGTATCATGTGTGAGGAAACTATCGTTTGAAGTACTCGTCAATTCAGCCACGAAGGTTAAAAATACATGCATGTAAAATAATGACCACAAAGCAATAAACATGATGATCAAGTAAATAAACAAATAAATACACATGCGCGCGCATACACACAAACAACAAACAATTCAACAATTTTATACAAAATTATAAACCAATAATTATGATTTAGTAAGTTCATTTATATGTACCTTTTGTGCCGTTTTCATTTTATTTTCGATTAAATACATTGCCTTATTTCTTACAGATAATTTCATATGGGTGGTATGTATTTTAATTTAAAACTCAATATGTGCATTGTTACTGTTGTTATAATATTTAATTCTTGTTGTCTGTTCTTGTTTATATTCAGTGTATACTACTTAAATGTGGCTAAGCACCATGAATTCAACAACACACCATTGTGAAGGGTAAATGATATTTACTTGAAAATAGTTCGTTCAGTCGTGTACCTTTAAGTTCCATAGTATATACATAACTTTCGATGACAGTTTTTTTTCTGTTCCGTCAAATACATGTACTTAAATCCTAGAAGAAAATCTTATATCAATATTATTATATTAAACAAATAAATAATATATTCAAAAGGAATATGACCATTTCAAACTCTTGATTTTGTATAAAATCAAAATACACGTTCCATCGTTATTGTAAGCTTACTTATTCTATAAAAACTCTCTTTAGATATACATTTTATTTTCGTACACTCCTTCATTTGCCAAATAGCACATTGTTTATTAGCAAATGACATTTCCGCGTGTCCTTATTCGAATCATGATAGATACAAATGTAACCCCTTAAATATAATTTAAGAAAGCAAAACTAACAACATATGCCGCAGAAATTTAACAATAATACATTTTCAATGTATATTTACATAAAAATGAATTTACGTTTATACCGAGTACAAAACTTTTTTGTACATAAACATCGAAATGAAATAATTTTTATACTGGATACACAACGGTTTCCGTACATCAACATCAGAATGCATTTACGTTTAATCTAGATACATAACTATTTTTGTACATGAACACCAAAAGGCAATTACTTTTATATTGGATACAAAACAATTTACGTACATGGATATCAATATACATTTACGTTCAATCTGGATTCATAACAATGTATGTACATGAGCAACAAAATGCAATTACTTTTATACTAGATACGAACAGATTTTCGTACATTGTAATTAAAATGAATGCTTCAAATAGATTAATCTATACTTAGTCTAACAGAATTTACATATATTATTAAAATACGGATTGATTTCCTCGGTATTCGTCTGCATAGTACGAACCGAATTTGGAACGACCCTGCTTAAGATAGTCAATCATGATTCCCTGATTATCCCATTTTTTTTTAATTGAGTGCACCCTCTCGAAGAAATTCAAGAGGGTGTCTTCATGGATTTCTTTGGGGGGGGGGGCATCCCTTTCTTATAGACGCACTTAATGACGGCTCTGTTTTCAACTTTCTCCATTTGGTCTAAATGACACACCCCTCTACTGATCAAAGTGTGGTTTATTTTACGTAATCTGTGTAGAACTTTTTGATCATACCTCGTCAATCGGACTACTTATACATTTGAAAAGGCATATGCACATGTTTTTTTGCACTGATAAAAGAAAATAATATAAAACTTGAAATGAGTATTTTATGACTTATGCCAATTTTTTAAATCCAAACCATCATAATTCACATTTTTTTACCTACTTCACGAGAATATTGGTTAACACTCTCTTCCTTTATAGAGCTAATAAATTCGTTAGTGAGAAACTGTGTATGTTTTACTACTTGAAATAACGCAAAACAGCAATACCATTATTTAGTATATACTGGTTGTTTAGCTGTCAGTAAACGAAGAATGTAAAAACATTACATGTAAAAACAAAATACAATCAAATAACAATATATTCACAATCGACGCGGAATAGAAAATACAATACATTACTTGATCTTAATTCTATGAATCTATGATTTCTTACCACAGCGTCTGTTGAAGGAAATACTACGAACATATTTTAATATAATATTGAAATTAAGTAAACAGTAGATCTAGATGCGCAGAAGTTAAGAATATTAAAAAAACAAAAACAATTAATATCTTTCTCACATAGAAACATATACAACGCAAAACAGTTAACCAGTGTGCACGATATTGCACGTGTAAACTCGTCAATGTACATCAGAGACGGAAATTGTCGAGTTTCAACGATTTGATACTGGAAGTTAAACATACCCGGTGAAAACTAAACATCATAATAAAATAATGCGCGTAATCGTTTCCGTTTTAATAAATCTGCTACAATTAATATGTAAATTTAATCTGTGACGCTAGTAATGTAAGAGTAATTTAGATAGGTTAAATTTACTTGCTTTTGTACGTGTGTGCGTGCGTATGTGTTTTTTTATGACTGATACATTGTTTAATTTACATGGTGCTGTATGTTGCGTAGCCGAGTGGATAACGCATCGAACTTGTAATACATGTGAGTTAAACACCCGTTAGGGGCTTTTTGTTGTTTCTTTGACCAATAAACTTAACACTTGTTGCTTCATACTTGTTGGTTTCAGGAACAGATTCAAGAGTTTGCCGATAAGCCTATAGCTTCAAACACAATCGAACGAAAACAATTTTGATATTAAGTAAAGACTACACTATGTGTTTAAATGGAAGAAGATCAATTTAAAGTACAATGAACGGAAACAATACAAGTATATTAATTTCGTATATTAGAACTGCATTATTTTACTGAATGCCAACAACATGTACTATCTTAAATTTACTAACATTCAGTTTCAATGATCTTAGGAATAAGACTATATTAATAAGGCCATGGTTTTATATAGTTTTAGTTTTGTTTTGAATAGAGAAGTGTATTGTCGAGAAATTTTGAACATCCCTCATACAACAATCCACTTCAAAATCATAAATAATTATTGACTACCCATTCCCAGTTTGGCATTTCGTCAACGGACCTGGTTGTTGCAGGGTTATTTGACAAAAAGCTGTAACATTATCATGAAATCTTATTTTTTCATATTTGTATTTGCTATATCAGTGACGGTGGTAGCAAGGTAAGTTAAAACTGTTTTTAGAAGAATTATTTCCAATTATTTTCATCTTTATAATGAAATAAAGAAACAGTTTTTCCTGACTTTTCTTCTCATTAGAAGAATTATTTTTATCTCTATAATGAAATAAATAACGTTTCATTCCCTGACTTTTCTTTCCATTTGACAAATAAAATAAAATAAAATAAAATAATAATAATGATAATAATAATAATTTTGATAATTGAAATTGTTAGTAAAACGAAAATTTCTGTACATATTAAAATAATTACTAATTGATAGATTTTACTGCAATTGTATTTTCTCTAAAACTATATAAACTAAATATGTTTGCTATCTAGAATGTTATATCTGTGTATCCTTTGTAACTTTGTATTTTGTAATATTTTGCATAATATGGTAATTCAAGACTGAATAGAAAACATAGAAGGACATTGATAGGTTATCTAAATTGCAGTAAAGTGTATTAAAGAATAAGGAGCCAGATAAGATAAACATGTCAAACGAAGTTTATAACTTAGAATATAACATGTTCATTTTTACTGTCTGTATAGAATAATTATATTAAAAAACACATATACACAAAAAAAAAACAAAAAAAAAAAAACAAGAATCTCTCACTGTACACGTATTTTTATGACAAAACACAAGTTTCTTGCAGAATCCGATAACGGTATTTGGTTCTTCGCTTTTATATGATATCAAAGGTATATAAAATGTACATTAAAGATCCTCTATGTTGTGATCAAAGTGGTAAACCACACTAAGTGAAATTATATATATGTACATAATTATGCAAATAAAACAATTTTCAAACATAGAGGAATATGTAAAATATGTACTGCAAATATTTGTACGTATTGTATGTAATCATTAAAATATATGCATTCGTTTCTTATTTTAAACGTTGACCTAAATTTTATAGAAAATAATTTTTTATTACCTCCCTTTATTTACATGAAATGTTAAATTCGGTAATATCTTTTTAGATAATGCTTTTTGGAACCTACAATATTGATAAATCTTAATTTGAGCATTATATTTATCATTTAAAACCATAAAAATTGTGTTACAGGATCTTTAAACAAAAATCTCAAATACAAAATATTTTATAACTGCTTGTGTCATTATGTTTTAAACATTGCTTTAAATGCTCAAATGAAAATATCAGACCTGTTTTTATCATGAAAGGACATTGGAAGAGGAAAATTATTTACTTTATGAAACTCTTTTATCAAAAACATTCTCACTACACTTGTTTATTAAAAAGACTTACTAATTCGACCCCACCCCCCCAAAAAAAATAAATAAATAAAAAATAGATAAAATAAACAACCCCACAAACATTACTGAGATGTTACAACAAAACAATTCAGTGCAGAATCATGCTCTTAAATATTACAACATTCCAATTCTAGTTTTATTTATTAGAATAAAAACATAAAATATAAAAAGATAACATAAACATAAAGCATAAACATACTCGTTTACAAATTAGCAAACGCTATTTTAAAGCATATTTTGTTCCCAATGCGCATTTGAGCAGTAAACCTCCAAAAAGACTGCAACCACTCATTGATGTATCTGCTATTTCTTGTTTCCTGCCGTTTTTGTTTGTTTTATTTTGTATGCGTGTGTGTGACTTTTATTCCTATTTCACTATGTCATCATAAATTATATAAAAAAGTTATCTCACATATTTATATTTGGATAGTGCGTTGCATATGCAATATATCTGTACTTAAACCTCATAGAGCTTTCAACAAGGCTTCAATATTAATTTGTCAGTTTTTTGTCAATTTTTTACAGCCATCAAATGTGACCATAAACTGTATTAAATTGGTAATAAATAATGTAAATCAGTTACCATTCGTGATGTTGTAAAGTTTTGCGAATAGTTTGCGTTCCTAGTCAACTTTATAACATACCGGTGACATACATAACACGTATGTCCGGTAAAAAAATGCCTGAATGATGATCAGGTATGATAATGAATACAATTACCTATTTGAAAAATATAAATGTGTGCAATGTTTAATTACATAATGATAAAGGTACGACGGTAATCTACAGTTGTTTAATTGAATTCCCTTTTGCTAACAAATATATCCAACACAAAATTCAGACGATACCAACATAAACCAATGTACGTAACAGACACATGTGAACACATATTGTTTAGATTTACGAAATTTATTGTGATTTCGGACAATTTTTTTGCACTGTTTGATAATATTACACATATTTAAAAATAATTAACCTTTTATACAATACTTCATTCATATACAAAAACAAAATATGACGAATGATTTTACAAAACTGTCGTAATCAATCAGTTATGTGGGAATATGAAATCGATAACTTTTGTTCAATGTCGATAACTGGACATTTCATTTAAGTTATATTTACCATGAATAAGTTCAATTAATGTAATAACGTCTCCCTTCCCTGTACTTTTGCAAAGTAACTCGCGCCGCAAAAAAAATCAGGATTTTTTTTCATATAATAACGGTCATATAAAAATACAAAGTGATTTACAATATTCTTTAATTTTCTGTTTAAGTAGACAGACAAATCTTATCTATGAGGAAGATTAAATAAAATGTTAGTTTTGCTCTTGAAATCCTACATAAAATCATTTTCCAAATCCTAAAATATATGGAATGTTTACAAGAAATGAAGTACCTAGAATTTGTATGAGATAGTCAAAGTAAAAGGTGTACTTAAAAAACTCAATATATTATAGACCGACTTGTAGAAAAAAATGGACGCCATGAAGCTCACATGCTGTCACATGACGTCAACAAATTGCTAAAGTTTATACATATTTTTAAGTTGTTTGTGTAAGACACTATAAGGTTATAAACTCATTCACAAACCAATCAGTAATTAGCACTAATCGTAAATTTTCTTGTCCAATGAAACAACGGCTAGCCAACAAAAAGATATAACATACGTGACAAATGATTCTTAGATAAATGCCGCCACAAAATTACTTTAACATTAGTAATAAATTTATGGCAATGCCATTGTTTAATATCTTAACAATATCGTGGTTTCGTCAGAAAGAAAACAACTTTAATGTTTATTTATTTATAATCGTCAATTAGTACGTGTAAAAAGGCTAATGATTCAAAGGACATATACAACTATAAGACGTCTGGTTATTTGAATGAATAAAATCACTTCAAGATGACCAAAATCGCTGTTTATATTTGCACCGTATTTACAGACGTTCGAAGATATCATCAATAACGGCATTATTTATTATCCTTATATGGTTCTTTCTAAGTTGGTTTGCAATTACACAGTCAACGCTTTTAGTACACGTTCTTTCGGTTCACTTATATCCAGAAGTAGTTTAGCGATGGCCACTTCCATTTTTCCATCGTGGCGTTTTACTTATATACTTACGCTTTAAGATTTGCGAATCTCGTAAGTTTGTTTTTCGTAAATTTAAGTCGTATTGAAATAAGACTCATATCATCTATGAATAATGGCAAAGGCAGAAGACGAATATTTAGATACAAGTGTGACTGGTTAGATACTTTGACGATGAAAGTGGCTCTTGAAAAGTAAAGTTACAATAATACTACGAAAAACTAACGAAATGTAAGAAAAAAGTGCCCTAGGGTTCAGATTCATCGGTGCCCTTGGTGCAATAAACATAGCATATTAATCTGAATGATTTAAAGATATCAAACAGTCCGATACAAACAGAACTTGGTATACTTTAAAATATGTAATGATTTTTTTCCCGATCAACTAATATGGTTATAAGAGTTATTGTATTTGCACTCTTATCTTCATTTTTTTATATCTTTAGATTATCATGAAGAATTTGAATAAGAATGATATGATGACATTATCAAGTGTTTTTAAGTTTATAAGATAAAACTTGAGCATAAAGTTTATGATATGTATCTAAATTATAAAAAATAATACCTCCCTGCAGGCAAGTAAGTGTTATCTTCACATATATTTTTTTTTGTTTTATGATGTCATAAATTTTACTGATCACTTTATGTTTCAGTTCGAATTTTTGTAACTACCCTAAAACTTGTTACGGATACAGATACAGACATTGCGGATTCGGGTAAGATTTTCTGAATCTATATTTCTTCTTTTTTTCTCCTTTTTTTATTATTATAATTTATGTTTGTATTTAAACGACTGTATATACATGTATGTACTAGTGTATCCGGGTTTAATACGATTCCATCAAATCAATTTATTTTACATTGGATCAATTTCATTAAAACATCTGATGTTTATATGGAGGTTTGAGCTGAAAGCGGTTCTTCACGTAAAGTATCCACCCAACCGATTATGAATTGCTTAACGATACTTAAATGATTCTGAAACTAGCACTTGTCTTAATTTCGGATTTTAACACATGTTTGTAGTCATATACCTCGGCGGTCGATATATCTATCGCTGCCCCAGACAAATTACGAGTAATAACCAATCTCTGCGCAAAAGACCGCCTACCTATTCCAAATGGATTCGGAATCAGTGGTAGAAAACAAATGACTATCATACTGATTGTCCGAGGCCAATAGTCCTCGCTCGAGTTTCGAACCAGCTTCCCCTGGATTTCTCACCCGATGCTCTTATCATTGAGTAAAGCGGAGGGACTCTACTATTCTTAGAAGTTCGACTCATTTAATATTGGAAATATATAAAGGTTGAATACTTATAAATTTTTAATAATTACATACAGGGGATGGAGAAGATGTGGATATTCCTATGCATACACATGCTACCCTAAGGTTTGTTGTAATGGCTGGAAAGACCTTGCAAATGGATGTATCACACGTATGTTACGTATATGTTATTTCGTTCTAAATACCGTTGTTGTCCTTGAATGTTTTTTCCCAACAATTATAATAAAGTTTCTGTCGGAAAAAATAAATACTAGTATATGAAATGTTCTTTTTTAAGTCAATATAAATAAGTCATGCCATATAGTTTAGTATAGAATTCAAATTTCAAAACAGTAAAGTATAGAAACCTAGAATGCGGACTGACACGGCCACACAGAAATTGTTGAAGGCTTGATCTGATTGAGCCTGGTTGCTTTTGTACCTAACTGTCAATGGCTGAAGCACACTTATACATTGAAACAATGATATTGTGTGTAAACAAGTCTATTGACGGACTGTGTGCTTTTATTTTGTAGCAATTTGCAACACACCATGTTACAATGGCGGTACTTGCGTTGCGCCCGACACATGTACGTGCCTTTCATCACACCAAGGCAAATATTGCGAAACTTGTGAGTAAAATATAATCATATCTCTAGACTTAATATCTTCTTCCTTCGAAAGTTTGTTTTTGTAACAGTCAAATTGTAGCTCATTAAGCACATATTATGTTAATAAAAATATTTATAATATCTGTCGTTTGTTGCAGTTCGGACCGGAATATCCCGCCTATTGAATGACTCATTAAAATGACGCAATTGTATAGCACGCGGTAAATCTGACACTCCTCATGCCAGATGAAATTTCCGGCATGGGTAAAACTAGTCAAATACGCAAGAACACAAATAACCGTAATGGTAGTTCTCATTCTCAACGTTAGCCTTTAAACTGTCTCAGCTGTAAAAGTTATTATTAGATACAAGAAAAAGGGATGAACATTTAGTAATGCTTGATAAGAGCATATGAAAGAAATAATAAAAACGATATTATTCAAACATTTAGAATTATAAGTGCGTATTTTGTTATAAGATATGTCAAGAAAATAATAAACAGGTTCGCTGAAACTTTGCATGCCATATTGAAAAAAATGATACAAATTGCAGACGCCTGTAAACAATTAACATGAGGTCAAGTACTTTGACTAGCCGATAAATTATTAATGATTTTTCAGTTGTCGGCATGTGATACGAGTTCTGGTTGTAAGTCCATCCTTTACTCAGCTGTAATGGATCTTACTGGTTTATCAGCTAAAGATTTAAGGTTTAATTATAAATAGGCGAGGCTATTTCCTTACTGTTTTCATTTTATAACACGTGGGTTGCAATAACTGGTAATTTAATCGATTTATAATATTGCAAAGAATAAGCAAATGCATATTGACATAAGATTGACATAAGGGTTTTTATAATTTAATCCACAAATAAAGTAACTTTATTCTTTTCATTTTAATGCATGTGATCAATAAAACAAATGATGAAGGTAATACTAAGTTGTATAATAAAAACATTTAATGTTGTTTCAATATTTGTTTCAGATAAAGGATCTTTAATGTGAGGAAACAGACGTAATAAAAGAAATCAACAAGATATCACAGAATACCAAGATTATATGATTTGAACGATAACTTTGTCGATTGCCTCATGAGGTTCATTTTATCATGTTTTGCTTTATTTTTGATGTTTTACTTTAAGTTATTAACAATCATATCTTGAACAATATATCACACATGTATCGTACTAAATATAGATAATAAATAAGTGCTAACGGAATTTTCATTTGTACATAAAAAATAGAAGTTAAAAGATGACAAAAAGAGGACATTTAAGTTCGTTTCTATAAATGCAGAATTTATTTTTATCAATAGGTTAAATATTTCGCGAGTAGTGAAATATCAGATATTTCTTGCCACAATGTGAAAACTAATCCTGTATTTATAGAAAAAAACTTGAATTTTGTGTCTATTATATAAATAAGGAATGCAGTGTAACATAAATTCTTAAAGTTAAAAAACGGTAAAATAAAATACGCATATTTATGTTATCAATATTTCTCATGTTCATTCATTAGAATATAATGAAAAGGGGATATCAAGTTAACGTGATTTATTTCGTCGAGTTGTATAAAAAAATAAAAAATATATAAAATATCAAAAAATAAATATTTCACCGGTTGTTGTAGCCACGGGTAAGATATGATTGATAATTGATTATAAATACTGAACATAAATTCTGTAATTATTTATCATATTTTGGGAACTTTCTAAAATACGTACTTACTGAATGGTGGTGACCTGTGCATACCATAATCTTTGTCGGCAGTGTTCGCGTGTGAAGAATTAGTTTCTGCCAGCAGACTTAATATTGATATTATAGTTATTTCATTTTATTTGTGATAAATGATGTCATTAAAAATGTAATCGTGCATTTTATTTGTAAAAACAATAAAGTTTATAACAAAAATCATAATACTTGAAAGTCATAAAAGTATGTAATACATATGACACTACTTGACAAGCATGGAAGTTTCAAGCAAAAAATATGTTTGAGCATTAGTTAATTACTAATTATGGTGCAATAAGTAATGTTCCCAACAAAATGTTATATTTGTTTATCATTGCATGGTTCCTGTAATTTTGATTGAGACATTTGTACAATGACGGTTAGATAAAGCATATGTCTATAGCATAAATACATTTATTGCCACTTTTATATGCGATTCTCCATGGCTTTGATAGATATTTACTTGTTACAGACGAATAATTATGACATAACATTTCAAACACTAGGACATTTGTCGATATCATTTCGAAGTCAAAAGATAAGGAGAAGAATTTTATAAGACTTAGTTTTTCGTTCTCATCCTTTTCTTTGAATATATTATATATTTGTATTCTGATTGTATTGTATTATGTATATCATGTAAATATTCGGGAAATAAATATGTTTAAACTAAGTCAATAGATTTAAGTTAAGTGAATATTTTTCCTCGTCAATGAAAAGTGTGTCGCCGATTCTTCGTTCACACTTCTATTCATCCAAGCCTTTAGCTTTGCAGTAGTCTTTTGTTTTGACAGTATTACCATACAAGTATTTCAAAAACAAATCAGTTACTTTAATAACAGCAGTGAAAACAAAATTGTAAAGTAGGTAATTATAATAATATAAATATAAGTATACTCAAACTGTTCAATATATAATTGTTTTAAGTAGCAGAAACAATGTAATAGTCAGATGACGACTTTCCATTTTTTCTTGCAGAGAAAGACTTCAGTTGCCCCTACGTGAATCATTTATAGTTTACTTAAAATATATATAATGATGAAATTTTAACGAGATTATTTTTGTCAAAATGTCATATCTGCAGATAAAACGTTATTTTTAACATTGTCCCTGCTTGGAAGTTTCATATGTAATATAACTAATTGTAGTTATAATAAGACTTCTTTCATCATGTTTTGCTTGACCAAATAAACACAAATGTGCTACATAGCAAAGCAAGTGCTTACTTGACAGGATAGTAAAAATGTCAGGAAGATTATTTTCAGAAAAAAAAAACAACAAATCTTCGTGAAACATGATATAAATGTCTTTTATGATACTTATTTTTAATAATCTTTCAAAGTCTAATGTCTTGTTATTGCGTTGCGGACACATTTAATATTTACTTTTATTATCACAATCATGTCAGAATTCATTTTCGTATCATTTAACATGATATAAAAACAGTTAAATGAGTTATAACATCACGTTCTTGCTTCATGGTTGTTAGTTTATGAATATGTCTTTTTATCAACAGAAAACTCATTAAGAGTATTGTTATGTCCGTTCTTCTATTTTTTATTTTCATTATCACAATTATAACTATTGCCATCAGGTTTTATTTATAATGATTTATATTGTCATAAATAAACAGCGGACAACGCAGGCAAAGGTATTAAGAAAATTGAAAGAGAAACATCATACAATAAAATGTTTTAATCAGGAGTATAATTTTTATTTAAAAGGAGTTCTTTATGGAGTTTCAAATATATTGTATCATAAAATCTCTACAATTTTTCTTCGCAGATTCACTTAATTATAACAATATTAACAATGCATCTTTAATTTATTCGTTTTGTAAATTGTTGTAAAAATATGAAATATATAAATTTGCAAATCAGAAACTTTGCTTAAGAAATAAGGTTTTCAATTGCTATAATAAGAGTTTCCAAAGCCATAAATATCATTATTACTATGTAATGCATTATAAGTGATGCATTATTGCGTATTATAACGTTCTAGAATAACAACGAATCAATCATTGTATCAAACTTCAAATCCAGGTTAAGTTAAGTAGTATATATAGCATCATATAGCAGCAGCACTTATTCTCGCATGTTTATAACTCATTAGTAGCCATTGTCTGGTCCCATACTGCATACAATAGATTAATACTCAAGATTATTTAGAATTGCGTGAACAAAATATATCATGTCGCTTTTTCCGAACCAATAGTGTACGAACTCGAAATTCGGCTTTTAAAGAATTGTGTAGCAAATTTCAATTCTAAAAAACCATAAACGGTTTAAGTAATAAATCGTGCCTAAACACTTAATTACGATGTTGTGCAAAATACCCCGCTTAACTTGGCTTAGCACCTTAGTTGTGTTCGAAAAATGCAACGGTTTATCTTTGTACTCCTACAAGTAATAAAAAATATATATGTTAAAGCGACCCCATTCCGGTTTTTGGAGATAACGGGACCGGAGATAAATGTTCCATTTGAGAAAATTCAAAACGAGTAACTTGTATGCAAAATTTGAGATCATTTGGTCACTCCATTTTTCCAGAATAATTATTCTCGTTATGAAAAATAAGCCAAAATTGAACAGCATTGAAATGTTTTTTAATCAAATCGAGCTAAAAAAATAGCACAAGAATTTAAGATTTAGTTTATTTCTTAGAATATTTCCGAGTCATCTTTTGCATATATTTCTGTTTAAAGTGTCCAAGCTGATACGAGTTTTGGTAATTTTTTTTATTTATTAAGGTTTTTAGAGTTTAAGTTTTCTGTTGCATGGGTATTTCCATGAGGTTTTATGTTTCTTATGTTAATAAATTATTCTATATACTTTATTGAAATATTTTGACTTTTTTAACGAAGAAAAACAAGAAGATCAAGGAGAAGAAGGAGAAGACGGTGAAAGCATTATGAAGATGATACTTTCTCTAAAAGTTTCAATATTTCTTAGTAACACCATTTACTTGATTATCATTGTTTTTGTAGTTTTAAATTATAAGCCACTGATAGACACATAACTTAAAGAAACACACATTTTCGTTTAGTTTAACGACAGTTTAACAATTCATCAACTGGTTATTTATAAATGATTTCCTTGTAACAAGAAGTTCTTCAAAAATATCAAATTATGAAGTCAAATCCTAAAAAAGATAATCACACTATTTTCCCCATGCTGTACATCTTAAATGATTGATGTTCTTCTTAAAAACACAGAACCCTATTAAGACCAAGTATGTCTATCTTATCACAATTTAAACAAAGAAATAGATAATTTTGGATTTTTATAGACCGTAGATCTATAACAAATCAAACATTTGTAATCTTCTAGGCATTTAATAAGATTTAAGACATGTTTTGCGATAAGTACATACATCTTGATATGACAATAAATATACCAATATCCTACAATATCATGTATTCATTTAATGCTTTGCAAATGAGAAATTAGTCGGTTAATGACTTTTTTAAACCTTAACCATTGAATACAAATCAGGAAAAATAGAGATTCCTAAAGATCATTGAAAAGTTTTAAAACTGAAAATTGCAGACTCTCTTAGAATCACAACAATGGATGTCAAGTGCCTTGTGGTAGCTCCTCATCTCAATGCTATTGTATTTGTTTGTTTTCAAATACCTTTCGAGTTAAAGATTAATTACCACTTTAGCCGATGGAAGGCATGAAAGGCCATAGCAAGTTGGAATTTTACAGAAATTACTATTGACTAGAACAAAAATCTGGAAACAAAGTGATCCCTCGGAAGCATTACTGTAATCATACGGAAATAGATCATAAGATCTTCCATGAAAATACAGTGTACTTGAGGCATTTCATTGTAACAGCTGTAAATATAGTTGATCTGGAACTGGAGACAATATGAAGAACATAACTAAGGTTAAAGAACTTTTAAATTATATTTAAACAAGTTTTATATCTAAAATTAGGGTTTTAAAAATCCAAATATGCTATTTTTTTTCTTTTGCCTGAAATATTAATTTCGAGTTCTGTCACATTTTTTGTGAAGAAAACAATTTTGATTTCATTCGCTTTTCTGGCCATAAAAAGTCATAGCGATTGTATGGAACGAAATTTCACTTTTGTTCACATTTTGTTACCTTAATTCAGCGCTACTTGTTCATATGACGGGCATCTCACTGAAACTAAATACATTATACACGATGAATAACTCACGTGGGAAATTTCTTTGGATATCTATCTGAATGTTCCTATAATGTTCAATTCATAAAAAGTGTGGGGCAGTCGTTTTATATTTTAGCGGATTGATATTTTAGCCTTAACATTGTCCAATATCATTTTTTGGGACATCTTAAAGCTTTGCAAAACAATACGTGTACTTATACTCAAATGGGTATACTTAATGTTATGTTCTAACTTCTAGTTCCAATCAAATATTGACTCCGAACAAAACAATATTCAACTAGAAAACAGGGTCTTTCAAATAGAATGGTCTGGAAACACGCTATGTAAACCCTTCTCGCTACAATGAAACATGTCTCGGCAGAACTCCGAGTTTGCTGTATGCAAGTTAT